TTTCTGGATAATCCACAGATATGACCGAGAAGGAGAGCCATCCCAGTTGGCTGCTGTTGACATTTTTGTCAGTACAGTTGATCCGTTGAAGGAACCTCCACTTGTCACAGCCAATACAGTCCTATCCATTCTTGCAGTTGACTACCCAGTCGACAAAGTTTCATGCTATGTTTCAGACGATGGAGCTGCTATGTTAACATTTGAAGCTCTGTCTGAAACATCAGAATTTGCCAGAAAATGGGTTCCTTTCTGCAAGAAATACAACATTGAACCACGAGCTCCAGAATGGTACTTTGCGCTAAAGGTTGACTACCTAAAAGATAAGGTTCAACCAGATTTTGTCAAGGAACGCAGAGCTATGAAGGTAAAAAATTCTACTTTCATTTAATTATGCTAATAAAATAATAGATATTTACACTGTTTTTCACAAAAACTATACTTTTGTTGCAGAGAGAATACGAAGAGTTTAAAGTTCGTATTAATGGACTTGTTGCAAAAGCACAGAAAGTTCCTGATGAAGGATGGATCATGCAAGATGGCACTCCTTGGCCTGGAAATAACACCAGGGATCATCCAGGAATGATCCAGGTTTGTTCAATTAGAACTGGCTTATTTTGTTCATCAGCAGGAAGTGCCTTCTTAATGATGCTTGGTTCAGATTATTTATCTATAGCAATTAGTTCTGAGAAATGAGAATTTTCTTTTGAGCCCCATAAAAATATCAAGATGTTAAGATAGTTTTGAATGCATGTATTATATGCTAAATTACTGAATCTGATAAATCGAAAGCTAAGTTATTCTTACTCGACATTTACTGTTACATTTATCTCTCTGTTTTTAATTTTATTCTTCATGATCTGCAAATTATGATTTTCATGACATCACAAAGACTGGTATTGGCTTCTCTTATTGGTTTGAAGTTCATGTCTAATTCTTACTTCATAACTGGCAGGTTTTCTTAGGTCATAGTGGAGGACTTGATTCTGATGGTAATGAGCTTCCACGATTAGTCTATGTATCTCGTGAGAAACGCCCTGGATTTCAGCATCACAAGAAGGCTGGTGCTATGAATGCACTTGTAAGTAGTCAGTAATTTAGACTTAGAGATTCTTGTGTTTTGGCATGTAAGCAGCTTAACAATCTGCATATCAATATCAGGTTCGTGTTTCGGCAGTTCTCACCAATGGACCATTCTTGTTGAATCTTGATTGTGATCATTACGTAAACAACAGCAGGGCATTGAGAGAATCTATGTGTTTCTTGATGGATCCCAATCTTGGAAAGTCAGTTTGTTATGTTCAGTTTCCCCAAAGATTTGATGGGATAGATAAAAATGATCGTTATGCCAATCGTAACACTGTATTCTTCGATGTAAGCTCTGTTGCTGTCTATGCCATAAAAGTTTTACCTCTCAATTTTTCATTTTTTATCCCATCTTAGTTACAGAAATGTTAATTTAATATTCCTATTTTCTTTTAATTTTTAATGAATTATAGATAAATTTAAGAGGCTTAGATGGAATTCAAGGCCCTGTATATGTGGGTACGGGGTGTGTCTTCAACAGAACAGCCCTGTACGGATATGAGCCTCCTCTCAAGCCTAAGCATAAAAAACCAGGACTGCTTTCTTCATGCTTTGGTGGATCACGAAAGAAGAGTTCTAAGACAAGTAGTAAGAACTCTAATAAGAAGAAATCAGGAAAGCATGCGAATTCTACTGTGCCAATATATAATCTAGAAGATATAGAAGAAGGGGTAGAAGGTATAATTTTGATCTTTGATATTTGTCTTTCAACATTCACTCTACTTGTTTAGGATGAATGAATCAAACACTTTTTTAACTATAAAATTTACATGTTTTGATGTTTTAATTGGCATCAAGTTGTTTTGCATCTTGGAGTTGTTCAACATTTTATTTTATTTTTTTTCTCAATGAGGGTTATGTTATTCCATCCTGACTTCACATGTACTCAGTCATGTTTGTGCTTAAGCGGAAATATGCAAACTATTTCTGATGGATTACAGATTCTACAAATGCATGAATGATTTGGTTAATGTCTATTTTTTGAAGAATTTCCTGAGAAAGTGACAAGTTAATTCTTATCGAGTACCTCTACTATAAATGCCCCATGTGTTTTTTATGTGGACTGTTCGTCTATGCTATTGAACTATTATCACCAATGTCACAAATAATGCAACTATGACGTGGTTTTACTTTTGAAACACATTTTTGAAGGTGTGATGCTGATAATTCTTTGCATTTTGTATGTAGGTGCTGGATTCAATGATGAGAATTCACTGCTTATGTCACAGGTGACCCTAGAAAAAAGGTTTGGTCAATCAGCAGTTTTCGTTGCTTCAACACTTATGGAAAATGGTGGGGTTCCACAGTCTGCAACTACAGAATCCCTCCTTAAAGAAGCTATTCATGTCATTAGCTGTGGATACGAGGACAAGACAGATTGGGGAAGTGAGGTATGGGTCCATTTCCCTTTTATGTCACCTCTTTGTTAGTTTCCTTTATTGCTGTTTGAGAACCTAGATTAATCCATTGGCACATACAGACTGAAAACATTTGAGCTAGTAGCTATGCTGGGAAAATAAGAATTAGACCTTTCCACAATACTTGTCTAAACTTTTTTTCTTTTTTTTGAGCATAAGGATACAGTTTTTCAAGGATAACGTCCTTCATTTGCATTGAGCTTATTTCCTTGAAAGTAACAAAGTAAATTAAATCTTTTGGGGATGGGAGGCTAGTATTGCCTTTCTTTTTTGCTTCCCTTGTTTAAGGCTTTAAGTTGAATGATAGATATAGCAGTTTTCTTGAATTCTTGACATTGTTTCATCAATTTTATTCAATCTTCATGTGGCTTATTCAGTTAAACTTATATTTTGCAGATAGGATGGATCTATGGTTCAGTTACAGAGGATATCCTTACAGGATTCAAGATGCATGCTCGTGGTTGGAGATCAATTTATTGCATGCCACAACGCCCTGCCTTTAAAGGATCTGCTCCTATTAACCTTTCAGATCGTTTGAATCAGGTGCTTCGATGGGCTTTAGGTTCGGTCGAAATTCTATTCAGTCGCCATTGCCCCATATGGTATGGGTATGGTGGAAGGTTGAAATGGCTTGAGAGATTTGCTTATATCAACACCACAATTTACCCAGTTACGGCCATTCCACTTCTTGCCTACTGCACGTTGCCTGCAGTCTGCCTGCTCACTGGGAAGTTTATTATTCCTCAGGTAAGTACAATATCAATTTCAGCCTTATGGAAAAAATTTGATTCCTCCTCGATGCTAGCACTTACATATCACTTAACACTTTCAAAACTCTAATTGAATAATACATTATAGCCATATGATGTGTCATTTTGCTAGGCCATATGTCTAGATGAACTTGTTCTTGTTAAAGAACATATCACAAGATCTCCAATTGTTGTCACCACATTTATGAATAATTAAAGAGTTTTTCATGATTCTGCCTAAGGGAGGAAAATAAGTTTATTCAATGATTTCAATTTACAGCTAAAGTTCTGATAGGACACCAGCTGAGGTTAAATTTGTGACTTCTCATAATTGCAGATCAGTAACATTGCAAGTATATGGTTCATATCTCTCTTTCTTTCAATCTTCGCCACTGGTATATTGGAGATGAGGTGGAGTGGGGTAGGGATTGATGAATGGTGGAGAAATGAACAGTTTTGGGTTATTGGAGGTGTATCAGCCCACCTGTTTGCTGTGTTCCAAGGTCTTCTCAAAGTCCTTGCTGGCATTGATACCAATTTTACTGTCACTTCCAAAGCATCTGATGAAGACGGGGATTTTGCTGAACTCTATATGTTCAAGTGGACTACCCTACTTATTCCTCCAACCACTCTTCTGATAATTAATCTTGTTGGAGTGGTTGCTGGAGTCTCCTATGCTATCAACAGTGGCTATCAATCTTGGGGTCCTCTCTTTGGCAAACTTTTTTTTGCTTTTTGGGTGATTATTCATCTGTATCCATTCCTTAAGGGTCTGATGGGACGGCAGAATCGGATGCCTACAATTGTTGTTGTGTGGGCGATTCTCCTTGCTTCTATCTTCTCCCTTCTATGGGTTCGGATTGATCCATTTACCACTCAAGTGACTGGCCCCGATGTGCAACAGTGCGGAATCAACTGCTAGAGGAACAAGCAGTTCAGAGAAAGAAAGATAATAACACTTCGGAGAAAGTGTGAAAGTTTTTCCAGATATCCTTAAATAGCAAAAGATGGAAGGTAATTGTTTTGAGCCTTGTTATGCTTGAATTGGAATCATTGTTATTTTGAGACTAGTCAATTTTCCATTACCACAGTTATATGAATAAGAAAATGGTTGTGACATTTTTTTTCAACTGCTCTTTCTGCTCATTTTGGATGAAATGACATTGAGGTTTACACTTTCATCTTCTTCCCTAAAATTTTGGATATCTGAAGTTTTTAGCTATTAAAGAAGTCAAGAAAACTTTCAAACAAGTGCCTGTCAAACTTTCTCTATCTTTTTTTCCGAGGTTACTGTGCTTCTTTTATTGAAACATTGGATGAATCTAATCTATTGTGACAAAATTCCTGCTAAAAGTATTAAAGTGAATGTTAGAACCTATTATGTCTAAGTTGGTTGAACAATTTGATTTCTTTCCTAGACCAGAGGTGGCTTAAAGCATCGTATTCCTCACTTTCAGGTCCTGATGCACTTAATGTAGATTGCAAACTATATAAATGGAAATTAACCACGAAATATTCCGATAATAACAGGTTTTTTTTTTGCCAACCCCAGAGAAAAAAACTAGGGCCATAGGTCAGGTTGAATGACGATTGCATTCCTTTATGAAATGATGAATTGTGAAAGCCTATAAAAATGAAATGAAAACTGATTATCAGGTTTTGAACCAAAGTTAATAAAAGATAAAATGGAAGAGTGAAGAGAGAAGAAAAGTCTTTTTTTTTTTTGAAAGGATGAAGATAAATCTCTTGAACATTCAGAGCTGTAGCATAATCATCAGTTAATGAGCTGTTATAATGTTCCCACTACAGTATCTCCACGACATACGATTTGAACTAATCAATAATCGCTTAAATTTGCATCAAAGCATTTCATATACGTGCGCATCTTCATTTCTTTTTCTCTTCTGTTGCTGGCTTTGATTCTTCTGGGCGAGGTGGAGCTGCAGCAGGGATTCCACCTTCAATGCAACTTCTACACTTCTTTTCTATCCATCCTTCTATGTCATTCTCCCCATTTCCACCAAAATGCCTTCCACCAAATAGCCGAGCAATGATCCCTGCAGTAAAACCTATGATAGTGATCACAGCCAGCGCTACAATCAGAGTTTCGATTGATCGAAGTGAATAGTGATTTGGTTCCCTCACTGTAGTTGGTGCCTCAACTACTGTTACAAATTGATCCTGTAACTTTGCTTCCTTAGCTCCTATGACCATGAAATTGAACTAGATGCTCATAAACTTCTGTTTTTATTTTGATACTGTATAATGGAATAGGACCGAATCGAAAAAAATGCAAAAGAGAGAGAGAGTCCGAGCAACTATAATATTTGATTTGGCATTACACAAGCACTACAAAGAAAAAGCCTGCAGACAAGTGAGTAGTGGAAAAACAAGGACAGAGAGTTGGGTATTGAGACTTGAGAGTAAAAGAAGAGTGAAAAAGTGAGCAGAATATGAAACTAAGACAGCAAAGGAGCATTCTATCAAGGTTTAGGATATGAAATGTGCGAAAGGAAACTGGGATGGGGAAGAAGGCAGTGGAACTTCAAGTGTGCATGTTGCATTGGGTTAAACAATATGGAGAGGAGGAGGGGGAGCACTTTCCTTTGGTGGGTGAAAGAGAAAGCACTAATTTTCAAGGGTGGGAAAAACAGAAATATGATTCCAGAGTTCCAGCCTTAGTTTGGGTTACATTGGATCTTCTTTGGTTCGGTGTGATTATTTGTCATCCAGCTTTTGATTACTTTATCTACTTTGCATATTCTATTTAAATTGGGGAGGTTTTTGAGGTGTAAAACAGGATTGCCTGCTAAAAGTAAATAATTAAGCTAAAAAAAAAAGTTAGAAGGGCACTTCAAACCATGCCAGTGGTGTCTTGAATTTATCCGGACCTTGTATTCCACCCAAGAAAAATATCGTTTAATTTTCTTTTACCAATTAGTCCGTATTAATATCACATGTTAATGTCAATTAACGTGACTTCCCAGATGAAATGTATTTTGTCTCTTGTAGAAGTAAGAACTTGACGATATTGTTCCCTATGTGGCTATCATAGTCTCTCTCCAGTCTCCCCCTGCCCCTGAGGCCCTGACCAGCTGGTTTTTTGTCAATTTGCAGAAGATATTGACAGGCATGAATCAGCTAAAAGAGTGACTAGACCGATGTGACCTTATTTTAGTGACCCTTCAAACGGCAAGCACTTGAGGCCTGAGCACACCATGTGTTAATGGCAGCCGACAGAGTGGGAGAGAGAGATTTGGAAATAGTGATTGCGATTTGCCTATACATGCATGTTTTACATAAAAGAAAACATCAATAATGGATCACCCTGGAGAATAAATTTTTAGAAACAAAATACCATATTTCGCCATCACAATAAATACTCTTAGCTGTCTCAGTTGCAGTTCAAGAATGCTAAACAAATTCCCAGATCTTCGAAAGCATTGCAGCGTTGAAGATTGTAAACAGATTTTGACATCTTGCCTTTCACTTGCGATCGTTGCCACCTGGCTGCTCCCCTCATCGATTGCTCCCTTCCTTCGCCTTTTTATCCAATCTGTTGGAGCTTGGTTTAGCTTGACTTTATTGCATTTGATTTCTTCCTCCTTTTTCCTAGAAAAGAAAAAGAAGATTCTTTGGTAAATGAAATTGGGTCCTTTAAGATTTCCCAGGTTAGCTTTGATATGTTGTTTTTATTGGAGCCATTGCAGTTTTATACTTTAGATTTATATCGGGGAATGTCCCTGTTTGTTTCCTATGGACCCTGTGTGAAAATATATATATATATATATATATATATATATCCAAACGAACTTAAAATTTGCCACTTTCATTAAAAAAATAAAAAAAAGAAACTGCATCTAATGTACATTGAGAATTATACATTATACTGGCTATAGATTGACCAAAACCGGCAATAAGTCTCACTACCATTGGTTCAGAATCGAATGTATTAATTTTCAATTATAAGCTATTATGATCATTTGTTTGCTAAGATAATAATTTGAGAACTATATTGCTCATGCATTGCAGCAAGTGTAGAAAAGAAGAATCAAAGCACAACCGAGATCCTGCAACATCTTCATCTAATCTAAGTGGGCTACAAGCTTTCTGAATGCCCTCGTAGAGCATGTCGAGAGGGATCATGGTGGCACTTCGAAAGCTTAAAAAGGTTTGGCTGCAAATTGTGAAGAGCATACTACTGGAGAAGTGATTGTATCATCTTGAATTGCATCCATTTTTTACCTTTAAATTAAATGCCAACCCGCTTTTCAGAACACAAGTTCCGGTCAAATGATTTTTCAACATTCGATTTATTAGTTTCATGTAACAAGTTAAACTTTTAAAAATTATATGTGGCTTAAAGTTTAGGGACCCAATTTATTATATTGAATGTAATAGATTATTGTAATGGTAATTTGTATTTAAAAAAATTCTTAATTCAAATTTTCAAAAGAAAAATTAATTCACTTAAATAATAGTGGTCTTCCAAAAAGTATTTTTATCTAAATTATATTACAGCCATCTTGAACCGTCGGATTGAAAGAAAAAGAATGTGGCCGTCAGATGTAAATGGCTATTCCAAAAAAAAAAAAACACCTCCGTTTACAAAACAATTGCTCACCGGATTTTCCTATTACAGGCAGCTTCTGTCCCTTGGCTTCGAGCTTTTTTCTTCTTCTTAACCAGAGACCCGGCAAGCCAGGTAGGTACGACCCGATCATCTTAACGGTTATAAAACCTTTTTTGGGCCAGTTAATTCAATTTTTAGTTTATTATTAAAAAATAAAAATGGTTGCTTGTTTGTTTTATTTATTGATTTGGCATAAATGTTTTGCTTTTTATCATTTGGGTTTGCATGGATTTGATTAAGATTGGATTGGATAAGATCTGAAGAGTAATAGTTTCATGGGTTGAATTTTATTGTTGTTATGTCCAAGATTTCATTTTGAAAGATGGGTTTTTTTTGGTTTCTTGTTTTGGTTTCCCTTAGAAAAAAGGGAAGCAGAAATGGGATGTTTTAGGATTGGCTAGGAAATTAGGGTTTTATGGGCAGTTCTTAAGGTTTTTTATTCATGAGGAAACAGAGGGAATTGAATTTTCCTGATAAAACAGGAGGTCGGTAAGTAGGAGCCAGTTGCACGGCTAGAATTGATTGGATCACACAATTTAGAGAGCAATTATGCTGGAAATTCTTTCGTAATAAGTTCTTAAACGATCCCAGTCCGGTAATAGGTAACACTCTAGTTGGATAAGGGCTTCCATGTATGTTTTGACTTAAACTAGGAAACTATCTAAGTGAAAACATTATAGTTTTTCAATTTCCAGCAAATGAGAACTAATACATTATAAAACAGAAAATAAAGTAAGACCCTAGAACTTTAACTTGAAGACTTGTAAAACTATGACTCAATAGAACTAACAATGCTTACTCAAGCTCCCAACCAAGCCTATCATCATGGGGCGTGTGCCTTTACAACTAACCCTATAATGCCTTCTGAACACTACTAGAGGCTGCTGTTAGTCTGCTTCTTGACGGGGTAACTCAACTATATTTGCAAGGATTCATATTAATGGGTTTTTTTTTTTTTTGTGAGAAAACAAATTGCTGAAGTTAACCAGAATTGGATTGGAGGATTTGTAGTTTACCTTATAACATAGAACCCTTTCCGAATTTGTGTTTTCTGTTTCATAAGTTAGGCTTATAGGTTAGTTGCAATAGCCTTCAAATATGGTATGTGGAATTAGTAATAGAAGATTATATTCAGTATGGTTAAGATAGACCTAGTCTTCCATTCTTTAGAGGTTATCCTAATGGTTTTGTTTGTTGGTAAGTTATGTTGTGATAAGTTATTTTTCATAAGTTCTTGGGCTGGTTAAAACCTTTTATCGTCAGTTGTGTGCATAAAACTTGGCTAAGCTAGTCAATCGTTAGCTACTACTTAAATTTAATTCTGAAGGTAGTAAATTAAGACTATAGAATAGGGTACCTAATACTTATAGTCCCTTTTCTTAACAACTCTTTATGGTGATTATTCTGAAGTTCTTTGTAATAGCCTTTTAGCAGATACTGGAGAGGATTTTCTTTCACATTATGTTAGAATAGGGTAGTTATTGATTGAAAAGGAAAAACAAAAAAGAAAAACAGAGAAGAGGGGTGTAGAGTAGAATGGTAACTCTGAGACAATATATACTATTGGAACATAAATAAAATTCTGAAATCCTGAATAATGTTTTAAATTGCCACTTATTTGCACGTGTCATTTTGAGGTGCTATGTTGCACATGTGGTAAGTCTTAGAATATGAATCTAATTCATTATTTTTTATCCTGTACGAGAGAGAACTAAACTGTACCACTTGAGGCCTTTAGTACCGTGCTAGGCATGTACATGTATTATGGTAGGTCATTAGAATTTCTGCACTTTTATTTTTCCATATATGGAGAAATACATAGGCCAAGAATATATTATCTGGTTTCTTTCCTAATTTTGTGATTAGTAAGTGCTTTTTCTTTTTCACTTTCTTTTTTTGACAATAGTGCTGTTACATACAAATTCTGCTCGTATTCTGGTTCTCTGCCTGGTTGCCTGCCCACCTAATTGTTCTTTCAAACTGGTGCTTTGAAATTCATTATTGTCACATGGAATTTTTATCTCATTTTTGTCATGACCAAGGCTTCTTGTCTTACTATTGCAGCTTGAAAATGGCAGCGAAGTACATAATTGTTTCTATTTTGGGATCATTTGCTATTGCTTATGTGTCTGATCAGCTTGTTGCCGAAAAGAAGATTTTTGGAGGTAAGTTGCTGTTGTACTTTTGAAGCTTTTGTTATTGACTATTGCAGAGGTTTAATAACTGCTGTCTCTCCTCTTCAACTCAGGGACTACACCTCACACTGTTTCAAACAAGGAATGGTGGGAAGAAACTGACAAGAAATTTCAGGCTTGGCCCCGCACTGCTGGTCCACCGGTGGTGATGAATCCCATCAGCCGCCAGAATTTCGTTGTTAAGCCTGGTCCTGAATCTTGAAGACCTTACTTTTGCTTCTTTTGGTTTCAGTTTGAATTGCTATTCCCTGTGAAAAAATTGTGGTGCTAGACTTTATTTAGTCTGGTTTTGCATTCAGAGTCATTCTTAGTTCAGAAAACTGTTTTTGTTCCTTTTTTTCATTCCAAACTCAATTTGGCCAAAGGAGTGTTAGAGGATGATATCACTCTTACTAGATCTCAATGAATTTTTGTGAAGCAATACCAAACTGCTCTTTTGTATATTCCAGGATTCATCAAGTATTGACACCTGATAAATTTTACGTATGATGTGAATTGCTAGCCAATAGTGAAGGGCTCATTATTCTCATGTATCATATATATATATATATAAATAATAAAAAAGATACAAGTGTGATAGTATAAGAAGTAAAAAATTAAGAGTGAAAAAAGAACCCTGAGAGATCCTGGAATATGAGTACTAGTTAATAATTATCAAGGAACTAAGAAAATGAAATTTCTGATTGGTAGTAAAATATTGGTAGTAAAATTAACAACAATAAATTAAGCTGAAATTATCTGAATATAATATATTATATATGTATGCACCAACAAACTTTTTTTTTTTGGCGGGTTAGAATCACGTTCACATGCCCTCCTCAATGTTCTCGGTCACTGGGTCAAGATGCTGAAGGCCCAACATATTAATTATGGTATTATGTTTATAGCTTTCCAAGGTTGGTCGGTATGGCTTCTCAAGTTCAACTTTTGTGATTGAAGTCCGGGAAGACAATGCCCGTTGATCAGTGCATCAACAGTACAACAGTTATCTTTGATTCTAAAACAAACCAACAAATAACACTGTTGCTTTTGAACTTCGGCGAGCTAGCTCCGGGACATTAGTAGAGGAGTCAAACTTAATTCTGGCATTGCATACTTTGTTTTCTGTTTCTCGGCACCCGTCTTTTTCCTCGTGCACGATCTACTGCAGTTGCACTGTATGCTTCAAATTCCTTCCTTTTTCTTGTGATTAGTCTGATACCCCTCATGGACACAGATCGATTTTGTTGGAAAGATGAGTATCGACCCTCTTTGCTTCATAGTAACCTGGACAATCGGACAGCTGACCTGTTTATTGTCATTTACTATTTATATGATATTTGATGAATTGGTTTGTTGAACTTCACATTGACTTTCATGGGCATCAGCTGATTAAATTGCCACTTACCATTTGAATATTACAAATGATATTTACGATGCGCAAATAGCACAGATGCAGATGTGAGGTTTTGCGAAAGGAAATTGAAAAAGATCATATCCTGGGCCACCATAATCCGACCTAAATATGCGTTTCCCATTTTCCATTTCTCATCTGATCCGGCGGAGAAAAGCAATCAAAATTTTGCGCAATGCAATATTCAATATGCCGAAAAGAACAGTTCGGCATGCATTGCATACTAAAGATGGGAGAAAACCATAATAGACGTGATAGGAGATGTTAATGAGGAATTAGATTTGATATTTTAGTATACCAACGAAAATTCATTAAAGAAGAAAACCATATAACCATATCTAACACAAGTTTGGAAAGAAAAAGCTTTGATATTACATTTGTAGGCATCTTATGCAATTTAACTCTACCTTCTTTTTGATTGAGCCCCTCGCAATAACCAAGGATCCTGTCTGCTTCAGACTTAGATTACAAAGTGTTTTTACCCTTAAAGATGCCTACCCAAACCAAGCAGAGCTTTGATCCAAGAACACTTACCTCACTGACTCCCACTACAGTTTTTAAAACAATTTCTCAAAATGGAGTTGAACATAAAAATTCAAGCCCCCATAAAGATTTCGCATCCAACAGAACCTTGCTAAATGGTTCAGAAAGCAAAGATCTCATTTAATAATTGTCGATCAATTTTGCCTTATTTCTTGAAGCATTTCCAATACCTTCTTCATCTTTGGTCGTTTGGCAGGTGTGTTGTCGGTGCAGAGTAAAGCCACCTTCAAAGCTGCAAGCATTTCTCTCCTCCAACCAAAGGAAACAGTGCTAAGCCTTGCATCAAGTATCTGCTCAGGCGTTTCCCCTCTCGCTGGTGCACCATGAACCCATTTCACCAAGTCTACTCCTTCACCAAAATCCTCATCAACTGGAAATCGGGTGGTGAGGATCTCAAGCAACACAACCCCGTAGCTATAGACATTTCCTGGTGCAGTGACTTGCATTGTATATGCATATTCTGGATGAAAGCCAGAGAAAACCAAATAAATAAAAATTAAAAGGATTAAGCAATATGGTGACAAGGAAGAACATCAACAGATTAGGTAAATCTTAAACCATATAATATGGTGAGTAATGTTAATTACCTGGGGGATATAGCCAAAGGAGCCAGCAACAGCACTGATACTTGCAGTACCTTTGGATGGATCTAAGAGTTTTGATATTTCTATCTCCCCAACCAATGGCTTAAAGTCTGCATCTAAAAGTACATTAACCGAAGAGATATCAAGATGGATAACTGCCACATGATGAAGGAAACCCAATCCTTCTGCTACTCCAATGGCAATTGATAGTCTTGTGGGCCAGTCAGGCTGATATTCTGACTGCTTTGAGGACTCATGAAGAAGTTGAGCTAGTGTGCCATTGGGCAAATATTGATGCAACAGAAGAGCAACATCTTCATAGATGACAAAACCAATAGGTCGTAAAAGATTTTCATGATAGAGCTTGCTTAGTCGTTCAAGCTCCCTAATCATCTTGTTTTGATGAAGAATTATGGTTCTGTCCATTGACTTCAGTCTCTTCACTGACAAAACCAATCCAGAAGGCATGACTGCCTTGTAAATGGTGCTGAAAGTCCCATTGTTGATTTTATTTGAATCCTTTAAAGTGGCTTTGATTACAGCATCGAGATCCACAGCCTGCCTGAGATTCTCGACAAACACATTCCCTGCTATTATTGTTGGTAGGCTACTGGTTCGTTCATCTACAATGCCTATAGTTTTTGCTGCCTTTTCTTGCCTCTCCCTCACCATAAAGAGCAGAACCACTACAGAGACTGATACAAAAACCGCAAGTCCTGAACCAATAACAGCTACTATAATCCTGTAAGAAACCCTATGGTGGTAGTTTGCCTGGTCAGAAGCGATAGAGTTTGAACATAAGAAGCTCAATGGCTCCCCACAGAGCCTTTTGTTCCCTTGAAAGCTTGAATTTGGACTCTTCTGGAATGGCACATATGTGGGTATTGGCCCAGCGAGCAGATTATTTGAGAAATTGACCTCTATCAAGCTCAACATGCCCTTAAACGCTGGTGGAATATTACCAGTAAGCTGGTTACTGGAGACATCCAGAGAAACCAACTTGTCTAGTTTCCCTAATTCTGAGGGCAATTGACCATGAAGATGATTGAAGCTCAAATTTAAAGCTATCTGCAAGTTACGAATATGACCAATCTCCGGAGGGATACTTCCAGTCAAATAGTTGCTGCCAATTTGCAATTCAAGCAGTTTCACACAGTTTCCAATCTCATGAGGTATTTCCCCTTTGATTGAATTCTCACCCAAGAGCAAGTACTGCATTCTTGTCATATTGCAAATTTCATTTGGTATAGTACCATTAAATCTATTGTTGCTTAAATCAAGCTTGTTAAGATTCTTGCACCCAAGAATGGATCTTGGAATATCTCCAAACAGACTGTTTCCAGAAAGTATCAACTCTTGAAGATTCATAAGTTGTCCCATCTCGGGAGGAATTATTCCAGTAAATCCATTATAGGCCAAATTAAGGAGTGTAAGATTAGTACACTGAGCAAACTCCGAGACAATTTCACCTGATAGATTGTTACTATCAGCTTCAAAGTATGTGAGGCTACTAACGTTTCCAATTGTCCTGGGAATGACACCAACAAGTTTGTTATTCCCAATTCGAATACTAGAAAGGCCTCTGCAATTACCAATTGCTTCAGGAAGATCACCAGTGAGTCCGTTCTGGGTGAGAACCAAAACTTCCAGCTTCCCCATGGAAAAGATACTCTTCGGTATTGGCCCATCTAACTGGTTTGAATGAAGGTTCAGCAATTTAAGTTCAGAAACCAAGCCTAGATTATCAGGAATCTTACCACCTAATTGGTTCTCATAGGCTGTGAAAACTCTCAAATTGGTCAAATGGCCCAGCCAACGTGGAATAGAACCACTCAATCTATTGCTAGAAATCTGAAAATCCTGCAACTTTTCTAGCCCCTGAAATTCTTGAGGTATCTCTCCTACAAGTAAGTTGTTTGACAAGTTTAATGATCTAAGGCTTCTAAGACCACCCAACTCCACTGGAATAGAACTTTCAAACTTGTTCAATGACAAATCCAGATATTCAAGCTCAGATAAATTCCCAAAAGCTGAAGGAATTGGTCCATTGAAGTTATTATAAGAAAGGTCAAGCTGCTTCAATGATTTAAGATTAGAGATTAGAGTAACATTACCTCTAAGCATACGCCTAGAAAGATCAAGTCTTTCAACAAAGGAATGGTTCAAGCCACAACGAATGCCTTCCCAGTTGCAGTAGCCTGTTTTGTTGTCACCCCAACCTGCTACACCTCCCAGCTCTTTGTTAATGGCTAACAATGTAGCTTGGTCATTGAGCTGAGCATCCACAAGAAATGATTTTGATAGAAACCCAACTAGCAAAAATGACAAGTACAAAAATGCCATTATTTGGGCTTATCTTTTATTTCACAGCCAACTCTTCTTTAATACGAAAACTCAATAACATCACTTCCTGATTAAATCCCACTTTACTTTTCAATGATTCCTTTATTGGAGCTGAAGACAGCAACTTTGTTATTGATCTAAGCATCACAGTTTACAAAAAATGGAGAATACCCAGAGATTGAAAACCCAAAGAAGGACAAACCTTCACAAGATATCCCATTAGAGATATTGTCAGAACTTAGCAGTGAAGAAGCAAGCAACACCATAGTTTGAGGAAAAGGAAGGAATCCCGAGAATGATTTCAGTGAGAGAGAAAGCAAAAACAAGAAAAAAGAAACAAAAGAGTTAAGAGTTAGTATCATAGAACATGCGGTGAAAGAGGAGACGAAGTGTTGCAGGGCATGCTGCTTAGATCAAAGATGATGATCAGGTTTTTTTTTTTTTTCAGAAACATAACATGGCAAAAGCAAAGTGAAGGGAATGGAGAGCAGCAACAGGGCAGACGATGTACAATGTTTGGGGACAGGTGTTTTTGGAGAGAGATTTGTGGGTCTGAAAAAGAAAAGAATTCTTTGTCACGAAACCCTCTTTTTCATGAGAAATGGGCAGCGACGAGTGATTGAAGGCTGCAATGCATCAAACTCT